GAGGACTGTGGGGTGCGGTTCCTCCAGCAAAATCCTTTTGGCTCTGTCAGAGCCGCCAGGTGCTCTTTTGCTCCCTCTTCTCCCATTGTGAGTCTCCTCTCGGCCCTTTTTCATCTGCACCTTTGATATTCATGTCTGCCATGTCTTTATTCAAGGTGCCGATAAAAATGCATTGTGTGTGACTTGATTTGCTCAGAAAATGATCATGTTTTGTATACTTAGGGATGTAAGCGCTTGTAAAGAAGCAAAAGATTTGGTGGAGGGGAAACGGGTTATTTCTTGACAAACAAAAAAATCTTCGGGAAGATAACGTTTTGGTTTCGTTCCTCGTTGTCAACCCCTCCCTATTCCAGATCTTCATATCTCACCCTAGAGCACCCCGTGCCTGGGGGGAAGGTCGAGGGGCTAAAGTTTGCTGGGTGGGGTACAGCCTGGCCAAAGTACCCTGCGAAAACAGGCGAGGCATTCAGGTTAAGCACGGTGGGCAATAGGTGACCACTCACAGTTTGTAAGCAGAGGTGTAAGGTAATGGTGCCTTGTCTACTATTTGTCTTTAGATGGCTCTGTTCAGACCAGGGGACTGCTTCACTGGATTCCCAGAGTCAAAGCAAATGTATACTTTGGTACTTTCTGTGTCTTTACTGGCCAGCAGAAGATTTAGAAGCATTTTTTTCCCCCAAAGTGTGTGTGTGTGTGTGTGTGTGTGTGTGTGTGTGTGTGTGTATGTGTGTATGTGATTCATTTAAACATATATTAATGGAACCCACCTAGAGATTTTGGGTCAAGAGGTATAAGGTAGGGCCTAGGAATTTGCGTAGTTAACCAAGTTTCCAAGTGGTACTGGCCCAAGGACCACACTTAGAGAATCACTACTCTAGGGAAGCCCATGTGTCTTCCTAACCTTTCATTGAAACAAGGTTCAAGAAACATCAGGCGACTCAAGAAGTTCACTGAGAAAAGTCACATCTTCTTGGTTATGGTTGGACTAAGGCACTTTGTATGTCTCCTTGGTATATAACGAAGACATTTTCTCCAGGGAGGCGTGGCTTCAAAGAATGGATTTTTAGAAATGTCTTAGTCCATTCTGTGTTGCTATGACAAAATACTGGAGATTAAGTAATTTATAAAGAACAAGTCATGATTCTGGAGGCTGGGAAGTGGTACCAGTGTCTGGGGAAGGCCTTCTCACTACATTGTAACATGGATGAAGGGCGTGGCATGGTGAGAGGACAAGAGCAAGCAATTTGGGCCACTCTTCCTTTTTCATAAAACCACTAATCATGTCGTGGGGGCCCCACCCTCATGACTTCATCTAACCTTAACTATTTCTCGAAGACCCTACCTCAAAATACCATCCACTTATGAATTTGGTGATTAAGTTTCAAAATGCATAAACTTTGGAGGAAAACATTTAAACCATAGTGGAAACCAGTGGAATTTGGCATTATGACTCATCTAGCAATAGAAATTCTCTTTCTCATTGGAATGGGCTGCTTCATAGCCCATCAATGGTTATCAATTGACTTTATCATCTCAGATTGGTGAGATTGACCCAGGAAAATTTTA